TTGTCGTCATGCATATATTGTAGTGAATGACACATAAACCGCCAATTTGGGAAATCCCAAAGCGTAATGTTTGCTATTGACTTCATGCTTTGGTAAAATGAAATTCGGATCCTTTTGTCACATGAATAAAAATGGCCGCCCGATATATACAGTTGCTCCGCATGTCATGCAGTGTATTCATGATAGTACAAATTTGCTCGCTACAGGGTAAGTCTACTCTAATTGAGATGCAAGTCATATACATGTACACTTGGTCATAAAGGTGGAATAATTTTGTTTTATTCCCATTTATGGAATGATTTTGACAATGATCTATTTCTAATTGAATACATTCTCAGATTGTATTGATGTGCAAGTTATATGCATGTTCATGTGTGGCCATGCCTTGAACTAGAATTCATGGCCGTACAGAGGAATTATTCCTGTTGGGGACCGGGGAGAAATAGAATGAATTATTGATAACTTATTGAATTTTCTTTGTTTTTGTTATTTGTGGGGGCTGCCCCCTACCCTAGCCCGCGTTGCTTACAGTCACGAATTCAGTGGCAAAGCAACGGCCTCGTTAGTGTGAGGCCCCAGGATCAAAACCGTGTCGATGTGCTATATTAGTGTCCTTTTATCAGGTATTAATCCTCATTACTTTCAGGTATGACTTAAGGACGTAGTTCCCCTAGTTGATAAGCATAGTAGCACTCACACGCTTTAGTAGTCACGCAAAACAAACCCTCGCAATATTATTCAAAAAAATCTGAAAATGTATATTATTATTTAGGTCTATTAGTAAAAAAATCATTGTACAAAAATCTATAAATTGGGATTTAAAAAAAATTATTCCACCATTATGACCAACAGTGTATTTATTGGAATCGAGTTATCATAGCAATGCTGCATCATATACATTTTATTTCAAAGTCCTTTCTCGTCATTTACAATTAAATTATACCGATGAATATTATAGCAGGGATATGGACCTAATCATAGGCTCTGATGAATACTAAATTTTATACAGGGACATGATCGATACATTAATGATTATATAACCTCTCGTTTGACCGTAAACTGAAACAAAAAACGACCCCCTAGGTGAGTAAATTGCAAAATCCGAACAAAAGGGTGTAACTAATCACATTGATTAATGCTGAGAATTTCACTTAAAAACATATGAATATTGACATATGCAAAAGTAAATGCTTATTGTCTACAATAAATGTGGTGGTGATGCAGATGTGTGTAAATCATGTAGGATTAATATTTATGTATGTAGCTTACAGTTTGAATTCGCCATTTGAAATCATTCTTAAGACTAAAAATCAATGATTGTATAGATTTACAGCATGTATCTCAAAAATTCCCGCTACGCTTCATAATGATTTGTGATTTTTATTTGATTTGTTGAATTGATTTCTGTCTGGGGGGCTAATATCTGTGAGAACTATTGTTGTCATGGTACAGGTCTTTTATGCGATGTACCAGATGGTTTCGTGTACACTGATTTACACAAAACGGTACACAAGGGAAATAGCGTTGTACTGACGTGTCAATTTCGTGGGACACCTTTAGCTGTCTGGTGGAAGAAAGGTGATGACCCAAGAACAGCACCAAACCTTGTTTCATGGATTCCAACTGATGATGTAACAGGATTATGTGAAGGTGAAAGGCCGTGTCAGATCATGGAGATGAATGAAAATCGCTCCTTGGTAATCAAAGAAGTCAGCATAGCAGAACAAGGACGATACATCTGTAGAGTGACAATCAGGGGGATACTGATACACAACTTCACGGACATCAGTGTATATTGTGAGTAATGCGTTGAGCCTGTCACACCCTACACGATTCTTCTACGATCTGATTTGTGTAGAGAGTGCAATTATATTACACATATAAATCTCAACAACCACTAGTCTCCTTGTTTAGGTTCTGGATAATGATAAGAATTTAAACCACCGTAATTGTTGTGCCTTTAAACTCTTCTAGTCCGAACGAAAGCCGAATTGGCTGGAAATGCCAGACAGTCACACCACTGGTCTGACGTCACTTAAACTTTTCCTGATTTTCAGATTGGATTATTTATTTTTGTTTCATTTTACCAGACTGCTAAGAAAGCATGTGAATGCTTTCAAGAAGCAACCAGGGGATCATCGAGACGGCTTAATATTGAGATCCTTAAACTCATCAGTTTTATACGTTTTTTTACAAATAACTGATCATATCAAATGCCATTAAAAATTCTTCAAAAATAAGATGGCAGTCAGGTCGTGGAGTGTGCCCCTAATGTAATTATATTCATTTCTTTTATTTCAATTATGCGAAGTCATCAAGATATGTGCTAGTCATAAAGCTGTATAACTGACCATAGGTATATCCAGTGCACCAGAATCGACCGCACCTTTCATTCAATCCAACATCTACGCTTGTACAACATATTACATATATTCCTTTGCGTAATCGCTCCGCTCCTTCTCACGTATATGCTAGGCCTTATTACTCTATTTTATCTCTGTTTAATAAGATATATATCAATCATTTCTAAGATGATTAAATCAATGAGAAGAAAAAACAACAGTGGGAAAATGGGGACTCAGAAAGCACTCTTTATATGTTACTAGATTATTTGCATGCGAAGTATCACGTTAACAATTGCTGCGGATATATCTTGAGGAAACATTTCTCGTTTGTAGTTCCTCGTTCACAGGAAAAACAATTATTGGCAACATTATTTCTGATTACATTATAGCTCCCCCGATGGAACCCTTCCCAATCATCAATGAATGTCAAACGATCTCTCGAAACAACACTAAAACTAGCTGTACTATTTCAACGAGCCAATCAGTCGAGATAAGCTGCACTGCTTCAGGTTACTTCCCAGATATAGATCTTTACTTTCTACATGGATTCACAAGTCTTCACACGATAAACACGATTGAAGTCACAAATCTTGACGGGACAAAAAACAAAACCATATTTGCCATCGCTACAGCCAGTGAAATCAGCTATGTTTGTTTCGCGTCTAATATTCCTGGATTGCAAGGGGAGAGAACAACACCTTTTTTAGTTAACCTACTAGAAACCACTTCCCTGGTGCCTACTGGATCCACAATTCCTTTTGGAAAGGCAAATGGAAATGCAGCTAAAGTCGGTAAGAACCTGTGTATTCTGACATTTCATTATTTCGACAATCAAAACAAGATAAGGAATTGAGATAAATATTAGACGCTAAACGAATTTCATTTCGTGAGACGTGTACTGTTTTTTTAGTTCACGACAATAGATTTCTCTTCGGACAAAGAATGTTTCATGAGCTGATGATTTAATTATATATCTATTTGCAGTTGTACCAGTTATCGCAGGCATTCTTATACTGGCTGTGATATGCGTTTGCGTTGCCATCAAATTATGGTGTCGGAAGAAACAACGGAGGATTCAAGGTATGTTTATATATATATGGCTCGTTATCACTGGGTTGAGTAATTAATACCTATCATAATCTTTTCTTCCAAAAAAAAGAAATTATCTCATAGTGCAAAATGAAAGGAAAATGTTTCTTCTTTTTATGGAGCCCTATTTTCCCATTTTTCTATGACTACAATGTCATTTATTATGACGATGAAGTTTAAATAGATGCAAGTATATCCTAATATATGTTATTTAGTATTTGGTGAACCTTTGAATATCTAGGAATGGAATCTGAAACAAAACAACTTCGAAAGAAAAATATCATTTTCAAATGTTATAGGGTACTATCATTTGGATTAAACCGTATTTGTTTACCAAAACAGCAATACATAGATGAAGTACGTACATTTCTACGAGTAACAAAATAATAATACTATAAAATGGAATACATTACTGTAAGATCGCACAAGGCAAAAGAATCGTAAAGTTATGTTAATTATGTTATACTATAGACAAATAATGGTGACAAAGAATGTTTCATTTATATATGGCATTATTTTGGACTTTCTATGCCCTTTAATTAAGAGTGCAACACCCCTGAGGAAAAAGACTTTTGACCTCATAGATTAAATTGGAATTTATCAGGCTTTTGTCCTCTAAATTTTTTTTCCGTACAGAAAAATACGACCCGGAATCCATACCACTACGGCAAGACCCACAGATAAATGGTAAGTCCTTATATTTATCTATCATACAAAAATTAAGAATCCGATTTCTTCAAACCAACGCACCAACATGTACAAACGCGTACATACACGCACACCAGCGCGCGCGCACACACACTTTTGTTTTGTTAAGTCATTTTGTTTTATTCTTCCAATTGCGTAATACAAACATACAATAAAACGTAAATAAAATAAATAAACGTTTTTTTTAGACATAAACATACTTTAACTAATTCTCATTTGCAGTAAATATAACTGAGCAAAAATTGAAAGTAAACTTAAAGTATGAAAACATAATGTATAAGTCAATTGTACATATTATTCACTTATATACAATTTGAGTTTTTTGTTTACTGGTACTCCCAGCTCCCCCTCCCTCACACCAAGACACACACGCATACACACGCACACACACAAACATGTACACACATACCCCCTCCAACTTGCAGAATTAATCGCTAACAAATTGCTTTGGAAACATTTTACGAACATATAAATCAGAATATCACTTATTATATGTGTGTGTATATATATATATATATATATATATATGTATATATATATATATATATATATATATATACGCATACACACATATATATATATATATATATATATATATAAATATATTAATATAATAAAACTTGATTATTTGCTATTTTCATTGAGGGGATTTGGTTTTCTTTTTTGTTACGATAAGATATGACGTATGTATTAAAGGGAGTGCTGACATTATTTCAGAGTAAGTTTTATGAAATACCAAATCTCTCTATTTTGTATGTAATTTCTGATATGGTAACGAAAAAATACTCAACAATTTGTGGGTTATAATTCCTTTAAGAGAAAGTATCCTTCTTCGAACTGTGGTACCTGGTACAACATATGGAGGAGACAAACTTGAATATCCTACGGGGCGCCCTCATCGATCTTGGTATTCCTGGGGTCGAGGATGAACTCACTACCGACACGGCATACGACCTACTCTGTGAATGGAAGGATGCAAATAAATTAGACAATGAAGGAATGAGGCTGAAGAATGTATTACACGGACATGGACTTATCCTTTCCTGGAAAGAGATGTGTGGTGGGTATTGATTCACTTCGAAATTATCCACAGTTTAACGGGTTTATTTATTTGTTTTTATTTATATGTTCGTTTTGTTTTAAGAGGGTGGTTCTCTTAGGTTTGAAATGATAAACCAAACAACAATTTGTTTACAATTAGTCTATGCAGTATCATGGGACCATTGATTGAAAGATCCAAGAAATAGATGTGGACAAGTAGATTAAAATGAATACAATTTATACCATGTCGAATGATTATATTTACTAGTGTGTACCTTGAAGTATGTATATGTTTAAGTAAAGATAATGTGAAAAATATTGATGCGTCTTTTATAAACAAGAAAAATAATAAATTTCAATGTTTTTTCATTGAAATACTTACGATTATGATTATGATGGTGTTCATTTTATGTAGAACGCAGATATGATGCAAAGTCTGAGGTTTCTGAAGAACTGTTGGATCATGTTTTTTGGAGCATTGGCGATGAAAGAAAGATTCGCCAATTCCTTCATGAACTGACCACCAAGAAACGTGAAACTCGATCTAAGGTGTCTGGAAATAAAAGAGACGTTATCGAGGAATCTATGGTTGTCTTGAGGGAATGGCGTGACAGAGAACACAATGAAAGCCAAGTTATTCAATTAAGTTTAGCTCTAGAAAGAGCTAAATGCAAGCCACTAGATAGGACTTTCTTTCAGGGTGAGTTCCATGTGTTATTTCCGAAGGTTTCAAGTGATGCTATTATTTGTGAGAAAATTATTGTGTATCTTTCTTAAGTAAAATTGTAAGGCTCTGGAGTTTATCAATAACACTCGAGTGACATCAGGTGATGAACTGATCCTGGAAGAAGTTTGTTTGAACTTATGTTCATGTTCTTCTCCCATCCTCCCTATCTCCTCTGTCTCTCTGTCTTCGTTATGCTGTATACTCTGGAGAGGGTGCACCCGTATGACGCCCAGTAGCTGATCATGTGGGTTTCAGTGTTATTAGCTTTGGTTGATATTACTTTAACCCGTTTTCTACTGAATTCTCTCTTTCTCATGAGCATACTACAGGGACCACTCGGTGTCTGTAGGCAATGGGTTAAATTGAATTTACATCTCACTTAAAAACGCATTTTCGAGACATTTGTTTATTTACATACATGGGACAAAATGTGAGGGACCTAACCAGGAAGTTGGGTTGTTTTATATAATTGTCATGTTCTTTATCTCCTCCCCTCTTCCCATCACACTTCTTCATATTTTTCTTTATGATGTTATTGTAATTAGTGTAGTCATACAGAAAAAATTATACAATGTAAACACTGAACTTTTCGCTTCTTCTTATAACTTGTTTGTTCTTATACATGTAGTTGCTGATCATCTCCTGAAGGTGATATCCCCACAAGAGGTAGAAGGTTTCGTCGATAGACTGACAGAAAGACATTGCAAGAGGCTTGCTAATGCCGTAGGAATAACCGATGAGAAGAAAATTAAAACCATCATGGATGAAAACAATGAAGATCTTGTTCTCATTCAGTCAATGGTCAACGACTGGATAGACGGACAGGAATGCTGCAACTTCGAGAAGAGATGCATGCTTGATGATGCAACCATCAAAATTGGCCGCCATGATATGACGGGTAAGATTCCATTACAAAATCAACTTAAACTTTGCTTTTGAAAAGTATGTTTGTATAGTTATTACTTATCATCAAGTATATTTTAGATGGCGCGAAGCGTTACTTTGTAGCACCTATCGTGGTTTTCCTTTTATGTTTTCCAGATGCATTTGGGACAACCAGCTACCGGGTTAAAACAGGTGATAATCTTGAAAGACCACATCCTGATGCTAGGACGTTCAGTGAGTATACTTTTAGTTATATATGTTAGTAGGTAGTGCACTCTTTATTTATCAGTATTTATTTTCCTGTGACAAAAGAAAGGTATATGATCTATTACTTGAACCATACACATTATTTTATGCCATTATTTGATTTTGGTTTACTCACAGATAGCAGCAGTATATTCGATGATGATCTGGCGTCCTTGCTGAAGCATCTTCCTACAGGTGCAATACCTTTGTTTCTTGGGAAGCTAGGCATCTCAGTTGACGAGGAAGGTGACGATTTGGAGAAGCTGCGATGTTGGAGAGACCAAAATATCAAAGAATCAAAAAGATATTCCCTGCAGGCCCTTGTTTCGATCCATAGTGATGCATTGAACGAGGCGAATGACAGTCATGGTAATTGTCTGAAAATAAATGTATTATGTAGATAGTAGGCCATAGGTAATAATTCGATAAAATATGTTTCCTACAAAGCGTTTTACCACAAACTGACCAATATTTGCTTGGCAATCATTATTATTAATACTCCATCAATGGATTATTAATACTCCATCCTTGGATTCAATTACTACCCTATACATTACAGTGTACATTCTCCACCCTGGGGGAACATTCCAGCTAGTCGAAGACGCTAATCGAACCAATATGCATGCTACCCATTCACAAATGGGCAGGTAGGAGCAATGCAGATAAAATGCCTTGCTCAAAGACATAAGTGCCGTGCCGGGACTCGATACCACGATTGTTGCTTTCCTAGTTAATCGGATAAACCACTCGAATACGAAACATTTTTCTCATAGGCCAAAGGAATTTTACCAAATCAAAACCTCTGGCTAGATACATCCTTCGAAAAGTGTGTCACGGTTCTATTAGTAACATCATTTACATTTAAAAAGATATCAATCTACTAAAATAATCTACTCTCCACCCAGGAGAAGCAAATACCTTGTCAGCTTGAGCGCTTAGGATTGTAACATTATGGCAGTATTATTATTATTATTGTTATTATTATTATTATTATTATTATTATTATTATTATTATTATTATTATTATTATTATTATTATTATTATTATTATTATTATTATTATCATCATCATTATAATGTTGTTCTTGTAGCGATCATTCCTATTATGAAATAACACGCATTGAACAACTCCAATTTTTCATTTTTCAAATGATGTAAACTGTGCATTGTAATGGAAAATTGCCATAAAATCGGGGTTGCTTTCCTGATGTCATCAGCATAAAATATGGATTGATAACTTTATAACGTATAATACCGGTCTACTTTCAGTCGAAAGTACAAGATATGACGAGTACCATAAATATTTGATTTTATCTCTTGTTTTTAAGTACTTGACGTAAACGATGATGAACTGGAGAACGTGATTGCAAGCATGACCTCCATGAAACAGCTGGAAGAACTCACCTCAAGACTCGGGATAAAAAACGACAAAGAGCAATCACATATTCTGTATCTCACAGAATGGAGAAATAGATGTAAAATGGATGAACGTCGTAAAACGCTGAGAGAAGCACTCAATGCTATGAAATTACCAGGTATGTTCTTTTCACATCCCACCTGACAAGTCAAACTATTAAAATGTCTTTAAATAAATTAAACCATACAAAACAAGTAGAAATTAAAAAGAGATAAAACAAATTGTGTTAATCATAATATGTGTTAATTGTACATTTGACCGTAAAAGACACGGGACAGTGTCAATTTCTCAATCGCCGCTCTATACCCACCCATAATACCACAACGTTGTGGAACAAATTCTGTAGCCCTTTACAATTGCAAGTAAATGGCGCTACACCAAATAATTTGTGGATTATACTGGATTAAGTTGCGTTGGATGGCACAATTTATAACATTCATTTGATGTAGAGGTGTGGTGGTCTAGTAGATATGTCACACGACTAATGTCCTTTGGCAAGACATCGATCTACATTTGCCACACTCAACCCAGGTAATGTAAATGGGGACGTGGCAGGAATTAATCCTGAAAATGCTAGAGCGCCGTAATAACAATCGGGAGCGCCAGGAGTGTCAAGTCTAACCGACATGAGCGCTATAGAAGAACCCACTATTATTATCATTATTATTATTACAAACGGTTTCCAACACGTGCACTTTTTGAACCCGCCTGTCGAGAGATTTCATATCAAATGGTAACACTCTTTGACGGAATTTGTGTGGCCTTTTAAAATGTTGAATGTTCACTAATTGACTGCCCCAAGGACGAAGCTGTTTTTATTTATTTGCTTATCGATTTATTTTGTTGTTTGTTGGTTATGTGTGATGTTGGTCTAGACGGCCGTCGCTATCTCCGATCTCTCTTGCTGTCTCTAAGTCGACTAGGAAGACCATTATCTACTATACAACATAACTTGCAAACAAAACACCGTTCTCATGTCGATCTTAAAACGTCCCGAGTTCGTTCAAACACACATAGAACGCTATTTATTTCGTGTTATAAATGCTCCCTCGACTCATATTTCACTGTCTGTCTTTTTCCATTTAGGATGCATTGTTGACCGACTTCCTGCAAGACATGTTTACCAAGCTGAACTGGTACGTTTGGCATGGATTATTTTTTATATCGATGCTTGGCCACTGACAGCGCTTCTTGATATGGACATGAATAAAGAGAAATCAGTTGGGGAGCAACAATTGAAAGGCACTGTACATCTTTTGATACAACTATTGGAAAAGTCGAAGGGTCTTTATGAGCATCGCCGCCGTGATTTCTGTGGAGCCATTAGAAATCTGGGTTACTTGGATGTAGCTCGATCAGGCTATTTTGGTAAGGAACATTAACCGATTTGGCATTTTAAATATGTCAAGAAACATTCTTAAAACATTTAAAGGTAAAGATCAGTTTTGGAAACGCCCCCCCCCCCCTCAAAAAAAAATGAGGTGAGGGCTCTTATTACTATTCATGTGAAAGATGATGTTTTGTCTAATACGTGATGATACAAATTTTACCGGAAACCGCCTACTAATTAATATACAGTGTGTATTTGGTAACTTATTATATCTATTTGAACCTTGCTGCAGTACACACCAATACTTATATGCTAGATGATCAACCTTTTCGGATCGATTCCACAACGTTTCTTTCGCAATGCAATGGCATGACCAGAACCGGTCTTTACCTTCAACGTAGCTTAGGGATTTTTGGCACTCAAAAATGTGGAAAAACACAATTTTGTATCGTAGAGATAGAACCAAATAAATATAATCATTATCAGATGTAGCTGGTCAAATATCGATACGACATGTCTTAGGTTAATTGACACCAAACTGTCGTTCAGATTATCTGAAAATGCACACTCTAATTTACCGATAGCAAGTACGATTATACTTATCGGACGCGTCTATCTGGGACGCTTCACTTGCTAATTCAAAGCTATGGTAATTAAGATTTGCATGCATATATATGAATGTATGTATGTATGAATTCATATAAAAGATGTATTTTAATAAAGATTTAGCGTTAAATAGATGCTGGATTCCTTTACATGCTCAGTTCTCGGGTATTATATATTTTCTAACAATATTGTTTGCCTCGTCACAATTATTTGTAATCTTAAATAACCAGTTTGACCTTTGTTTGTTTCCGTTAATCTTATTTTCATCTTTAAAGGAATCGTTTAACAATGTTAAATCTAGAATACACGGCAATACGTGTTATCAGTGTCTGTGATATGGTCTAATAGTGAAGCCCTAAACAAATTGCGCTTTAAAATGATCAAGAAATGCCTCAAAAAGTACAAATCTTTGAGTGACCGGTTTTTACCATACTCGTTTTCTCCAATAGACTGTAGTGTTGTGAAAACCGTTCGGCAAACGGTTTTCAAAATTCATAATTCCAATCATAACTATCTTGATAATCAGACAGGCGCTCGGCTTGTAAAAGTCATGGGGTTTCTGAATGACCTTAATGTTTATAATTATCATTGCAGAATGAGCTAAATCCAGAATTTTGTTTAAGAATCTGAGACAAAGTTACCGGATCCCTTTAACCCTGATGAGGCCGGGCTATTTGAAGTCTTACTACGGCCGGGGGGGGGGGGGGGCATTATGCCCCCCCCCCCCCCAAGATCTCGGCCGTGAAAGGGCCGATATCCGCGAAAATTTGCACGCATGTCAAGTGACGTGTACAGAACAATATGATAATTTCAATTTTTTGAAAAAAATCACTCATTTGCATATTTATGGTAATTTATGCAAATAACGTCATAAAATCACATTTTTACCCATAAATCATATATTATTCATATTTAAGCATTCTTTTTCACTACAAATATTCATAAGACCATTTGGAACAATAATACGACAATTTTTTTTGGAAGAGCCAGCTTATTCCTTATGTTATCTCTTGTTTTGATAATTTCTTATGTATTTCATTGTTTTTTTAACTTATTTATGCTAATGTTTTTTTGTTTTGTTTTTTTCTTCCTACAATTCAACTATTTTGACTCCCAAAACAACCACCTAAACTTTAAACAAGACCCAATAACCAATGTTTGATCTATTTTTAGGAAAAATGACATTCCCATATGTTTTGTACACAAATCACAAAAATGAGCGATTTTCGGGCTGACATGCAAAGACAAAAGGTCACGTGACCTTGTAACTATAGGTCCGATTTTTTTTTTTTTTTTTTTTAAAGATGCGCAAGACTCTTAAGAAAAAAGTCAGCGAGCGGCGAGGCGCCATCCATATGCGTTCTCGAACAATCAGAAAAATCGTGGAGGGGGGGGGGGGCATGATGGCCCCCCCCCGGCCTTATTAGGGTTAAGAGAACTGAAAATTATGTTTTATCAAGTTCGGATGAGGACTTCAAAAGTTTGATATGTTCTCCCTCATGCCAAAACAAATTAATTATTGTATAAAGTCAGGCAGAGGCCATCATGGGTAGAACAGAGGGTCACTCTCTCGTCTTGTGAGCAATTTTTTTATTTTGGATCTATTTTACGAAAACAACAAGTTCGTACAAGATCTTCGCTACTCCCCCCCCCCCCGCCATGGTATTGTTGCTTTACCCCTTTAGAATTCTTACATCCATGCATCAAGGTTATGACGCTAGCCTCAGTGAACTTTGCAACATGACAACGGGGTTGTCGGAAGACGAAATTGTAAAATTGGTCGTCCATCTTGGATTGGAGAAAGATGTTCTTTCAGTCTGTCAAGGAACAACGGGAGCATACGACAACGTCAAACTTATGAAGGTCTGGAAAGACCAGCTTAGACTACAGCCACTTCACTTCAGATTCGAGCTAGCTGTGGGTCTTCGCGCTGTTGGAAGAACCACTATTGCCAGTACGATTCTCTCCGGTAAGCGCCATAAAGAAAAAAATCAATGCATTAGGTATAATGTACTTGATTTATATCGTTTGTTCCTTTTTTAATTTACTGATTTAATTTGTTTTGTATTTCTAAAATATTGAATGACTTGTTTCCAACCGATGTGCTGGCAGGCCTGTGTGCTGGCATTGAATTATTGGCTGCCTGGGAGGGAAACGCAATCACTACAAGAACCCAACCCGTGATCACTCTTAACCACCGGACCACTACGCACCAATGTCCACTCCTCCCCCCCCCCCCTCTCTCTTTCATTACCTCCTCCTCTTCCCCTCCCATGTTAATCGAATAGTGCTTCTTAATTGGGTTCTTAACAGGCACATTTAGTGATTCTCCATTATGTATTTATAAGCATACCTGTTATTAAGATCGAGAGACAGAGAAAGTAGGTGAGGGTATCATTATGAAGGCTTTTGATTCAAGTTTTACAATATCTGCCTCATCGTAATAAAAATACCGTAAAGGGACTTTCTTTAAAAAAAAAGTAAGTACCATCCTTTGGAATTTCTTTGATTTCACTTCCTCAATAGGTCGGCATCACACACCGGAAGTCGATTCTAGGGTTGTGGAAAGCATATGCAACAATCTAAATGAGGACCAATTGGAACGGCTCCGTCAACACCTCGGATTGAAGGCTCAGGAAGACCAGAGACCTACAACCGTTACAGCAACACTTGTGACGGAGTGGGTAACATACCGGTTGGAAGAGTTTGAAAAAAAATCAGTGATGACGAAATTATTCGTGGACAAGATTAACCTTCGGAGAAAGGAGATTGACAGCCTGTTTAGTGCCGGATTTTTCGAACTTGCGGAAGAAGTCATGCTACTCGAGATGTCCAGAATTCTATATGGCAAATCAGCCGATAAAAAATCTGATGATAATGAGTAGTATCAGTGGCATTTATGTAGCAAGCTTCTGAAAGCAAGCAGGCTAATGAGCAGTACCTTAAAAAACCATAGCGATTTCGAATCCGGAAGCAAGTCATCCAATGAGCAGTGTCTCGGAACCCTGGCGAGCCGCTCGTTGCCGTAGCCTGCGCCTAGTATCCCTGGGGTGTAGTGCACAACTTTGTGGTTTACTTGACCAATACTTAGGGTATTTAGGCATACTTTAAGACATATTAAGTAACAATTCAACTACTTCCTTCCTTAATATATTTGTTATACTATTAATTATTGGTTCTCATGTTTTGTTACAATATTCAAATAGAAAAAATGTATGTAAGGAGTAAGAGAAAATGATCGATGGTCCACCCTATCTTAACTGATATCAACAACGTGGCGCTAGCTCTATACGATGTCACTATATAATGCATTGATCTTCAAAATTGTCTACAAACGGCCCTTCGAACGGCCACTCCACCCGAAGCATTGGGAAAACTCTTCGCATCTATCTCATCAATGTGGAATGTATATTACATTGTAAAATATATATGTATCGTGGAAGTAGCAAATCAATCGGTGTTTTCTTAAGTCATTTTGTGTTGTAATAATATGTATACCTTGTACAAATTTGTACCCCGACGTGAATAGTACGAGTATATTTTAGCAAGTATGATGAGCATGGGATAATTATGGCATACTTCTCAATGTAAATCACCCTTACTTTAATAGCTAAAGAAATAGTATTCGTTTCCTCAACTCTATGAACTTTGCTTTTAGAATCTAATATGAGAACGTTCAAAGTGTTTTTTATAGAAGGTCGTGATCAATCCCTTCAAAATTAAAAGTGAACCTTTTTTAGTGTTTGGTTTCAGGGTGTGGCTTTATAATATTCATCCACGATTTTCAGAGCATAAAAGACAAAGTGTTGAAAAAAACACGAATTTGAAATCATCGACAATTGCGGTGTCTCCCCGAACGAACCACAAATGTATTGCTCTGTATTTAACATACCAACCGACAAATGTATATTGGTTAACACGCAGTCTTTGATTGATACACGAACAATATCGTAATTTCAGGCAATGAAAAGTGAAAGTGATTGCTGATTGTGTAAAACTTTAGGGACGTCGAAAACGATGGCGTCTTCTCACAAGACTATTATCAAATATTACCTGTACTATTTGCTATACTTATTAAACAAAAGTTTGTATATGAAATGTTAATTATTATATTCCTTTTACAGTACTGACCCTCTAACATGCAAAAAATCCTGAAAAGATTATCAAACCACACAGATATTTATGGTTTTCTTTGAAGGCGTCACTATACAACACCCTCTAACATTGTAACAGTAAATTCTCCCAACCATTTTTGAATTTTCCTAACTTTTGTTTCATTTATACATTTCATAAGACAGGCTTTTAATATTTGTTCATCCATTTATTGTTTAGAATTGTTTGTATAGAGCCAATTCATCGCTTTGTGACGATTTACATTCACCTCAAATTTAATGAACTTGTTATATTATAGTTGGGAGAAGTGAGGAATCGATCAGATCAGCTTTTCCCAATTTTTATCATTAATAATGGTCTGTTTTCACTCAAACTTTCGGATTATCTTTAATTGTACAATAGCATTGAAGTTAGTACCTTAGCTCCGCTTTCTCTCATCTGAACAATGTTTCTAAGTCACTTTAAGAGCAAAACGTGGACGGCTTGTGTATCTACCACATGCACAATGTCTGACCAGCAGCTTTAATATGACTATTCAAGTGAATAATTTCAAACTACTTGATACGACTGATTGCCTAATGAATGGCTTTTTTACCTCAACATTAGTACATTGTCAAAGTTTTTTGTTAACGAGATATGATTTAGTTCCTGCTTGCTAATACGTAATGTTCGTTCGTTAATTTGCTTTGGGGATTGCCTTTTCCTTTATTGGTTTGTGATGATGCAATGGTGTAGCTTGTAGTTTTCAAATTAAATATAAGAGTGCCAATAACAAATTGACAATTTACTCGCATATATAATCTCGAGATATAATTGAAATATGTTTGCATTTAAATAGTGATTTATGGAAAACGTAGACAAGGTGTATGTATGTATTGTATTGTATTTATTAAACTTCATTGATGTACAACAATATTATGTTTATAAACATATAATCACTTTACAATGTAATGTAACAATCAATATTCTGTTTGGGAACATATACATCATATAATTCAATTTATAATGTAATGTAACATATCAATATTCTGTAAACATATAAATCAATTTACAATGCAGTGTTTATAGCAAAACAGAAGGAAAATTATATCCAGCAGAAACACTTTTTTTTCTTCTTAGTAATAACATGACATAATGCATATAGTAATATAATGTACCATAAACGCCGAAGATTTAGATATATAAAAAACATAATACAGCACTTTTCTAAATAAATTATAACTCATGCAATACAAAATAGTTTTGAGGTACATGAATGCCTAAAATAAATGACGTAATAGTACTTCTACATAACTGCGACCTACTGCAGAACTAAAACCAAAAGCATAAGATTATATATTTCTACGTTGTTATAACATAATTATAGTATCTAAACATTACCCCTCATTGCAATTATGTTTTTGTTGAACAAAGAAAAACTATCTATTACAACTTCATTGTCTAATCTCATTATAAATATGAATTTTTCTTGACTATCCAAATTACTCAGAAAAAAAATCCAGATTACAATTTTTTTCTATAGAAATACTCGTAAATCTTTATACTTGTCACATTTCATAATTATATGGAATTCAATTCAGTCGAAGGAGGAGAGGAGGAGTAGGAGTTATAACAAGAATTGTAAGTCTTAAGTTAATAATATTATGTTGCTGCAATGTACAGTGTTACCCTAGAGGTAAACTTTAGGTGAAGTTTGTACTGGGTCTTGTCTATATTTCTTTGCTGAAATATCTGAACTTATTTTCTTTGCGTATAGCACGGAATTGTTTGTGTGTTTTAAACCCAGAATAAAGTGAGGTTATTGCTGTATGGTAAATGGCATGTGTGTAATTGCAATTATTTTAGTTACCATGTGACAGAAGACATAACTAATTGATGGTGCAGGGTGAATTGATAACAAGCTTGTTATTTTGATTAGTGCATATGTTATAGTATTGGCCCGAATTAAACTATACCATATCTCAAATATAAAGTGACCTCTTCCTTAACGGTTAGAAGTGTTAAAGCTAAAATTTCCTTTCCATACAAACGTGTGTTAAAAATTCGGTGAATTCTTGGAAACAAAAGTTGTAGAGTTTTAAGTTAAGTGATCGGTTTCTTCCTTTTTTCCCTTTCTTCTTTTTTTCTTAAATTAAAATGGTCCCATTCAATATATAAACCTATTAAAAGAAAAATTTGACATCAATTAGATTTAATCATATATTCCTGTTAGTTTGAATCTATGATTCAAAATTAAATCAGTTCCGTTTTGCATACCTTTGTGTTTAATGTCAGTGTGCATATGGTGAGTGAACGCAATGTTACGTCAGTTTCATAAACATGTCTTTGAATGGTGTACATGTATTAATTGCCATATCATTTTAAAATTAATGTTACGGATATAATCATATCGCGTGAAATGCATGGCGATAATGTGTATACTGGGCGATGTGCCAACTAAATGAGACAAACATCGCGAAAATGAAAAGGTGGACTTCGCTCCTAAGCTGCAAAGCGTGCATGCACGAGATTTGGGGCTTTCAATACATATCCCATTTCATTTGTGTGTATGCAATAATCCTTTCAACAGGAAAGAAGCGCGATTCTATGCCAATTTGCCTCTACACATAATGTATGTTAATATACACAGTGAAGTATCATGGGTCCATGCTATTTAGGGGGCAGCGGTGTGCTTTTATTTGGGAGGAGGGCACAAGTGTGAGCTAGTGACTATATTGCAAATTACAAGTACAAGCCTAACCAAAAAAAACAACCACTACCTCTGTCTTCTTTGGCTCCTAGAAATACAAAGCTATTTACCACTTTTAGATTCCCACTGTTCAGTTTAAAGCTTATTAATGGTCCAATTGATATTAC